GAGGCAATAAAAAAGATACCCCACGGTGCCCCTTACCTTGACCTACCCGCATACACGGAATTGTAGGCCATCGACGCAGCTTGCCTAACGCCTCACATTTGCTTTTCCCAATCAGAACATCGTCCAATCAGAAATGAGAATGCGACACGCCGGGGATCGAACCCTGGCCCAATTGAGCTTTCACCCGAAGTCTAAACCACTACTAGTAGACCAAAAGACCTTGACTGAAATTACGCTTTCGACATGGCTACTGTTGATTTTATTTTACGGCGGTCGTACAAAGGCGCCTCGACCCTTTACACGCGCTGTACACTGGCTCGACCGAGTAACCCTACCGCTCGCGCCATCCGACGACAACTCCACATGCGTCAACGACACGCAACACAGAATCTGACCACGCTTCGGTGGTTGTGTGACCAATCGGGTGAGGCCACGCCGCGTTTGGATGCCGCGATCCAGCGCGCCTTTGTGACGGGGAGCCACAACACTGCTGAGTTCCTTGCAAACGACCACTGCGTGACATTGCCCATGGTTCAAGTGGACGCGCGCGCACTGAAGCGCAAGGCGTCCGAAATGGTTTTCAACGATATGTAGTCCTAACATCAGAACGCAACTGGATCGCAATTGATCCCAATCGAATCAAATGGAAAACGCAAAGCGTATCTTGCCATCGTCATTAGCGATCTCATTGGACAAACGAGAATGCAATGCGGACATGTGATTGGCTGCTCGAGTGAAACCCACATGTCATTGGCTGGTGGCGTGGACCCGAGACCTATTACACATGAAGAACCATGTATATCCTTGAATCTGCTGGGCCAACGAAACTATTACAAGCAAGGAGGTCATGGAGTTTCTTTGTACATAATTTGTACATGAAATGCACGAGCTGCTCGATTGCTTTTGATTGCATACCACAGTGCCCCCATGAGGTGGGGTGGGGGCCGCATAAAAATGGGGCGGTGCACTCACGGATCCTTTTCTTTGATGTTGACATGCAACGTCGACGCGGCATTATGCCCAACCTTGGGAGGAACGTAAGGACGCTGGTGTCGTACCTAATTGCATCCGCAGCCGGTGGTCTCACTTCCACTTGAAGAACGCGCGACCGGTCTATTGTCCGCCAAGCCGAATGGTGCCGCAGTGAACTGCGGGCTTTGGAGATGCAGTGACCCAGATGTACATAGTCGGCGATCTTGTTCATGCTGCCCGTTGTGCGTCCAAGGTGGCACGGACCAGGACACACCAGGCGTTTCCAGATGAGTTTGCATGTGGACAACCATGGGGTCCACGATGCGTTGTCTCTTTCGTGGTCGCATCGTCACCATCTGGTCCGACGAGATGCCGTCTTTTCACCGTCGCATTTGGCGAAACACTTTTCGCAAAAGTGCAGATCCGTCGGGCGAAATGGCCTGCCCCTATAGCGCGTACGTCTCGACGGCGACGCGCGAGTGCCAAGACGGCGTCTACTGCATCGTCGACAGTGCGTGCAAGGTACGAACAGTACCCTCTCTCTTCTATCTCTGGACACGGGCGCATTTAGACGCTCAAGACGTTCACGACCAAAGACGTTGATGTTTTTGTCGCGGCCAAAGTAACAAGACTCGATGTCCGAGGTCCTTCAGCTGAAAAAGCACTGTCGAGCTCGTACAACGAACGATTGCTAGATCTCGTCGTGTCGCACGTGGCCGATTTACCAAACGCATTCGAGGGACTCAAAATGTACGCTCCATGAAATTACCTTCACTTTGCCTGAATGAACCTTGTAGACGTTTTTTCAACACCGACACGCGATCGGTGGGCGACCTCTCGACGACATCGAACGTCATTGGCTTGTAGGACATATTTGGTTTTCCGCAACAAATGTCACAGGATGTGAATTTGGCGTAGGGAGATTCTCGACAATGCAACGCCACTCAATCTCTCGCGCGCGGTGTGGCCACCATCACTTCAGAAAATGTGCAACCTCCGCCTATGGAGAGAAATGTCCGACTCATTTTGGTGAATTAGGAGTGTTGAAAACACGCGGGTTCTCGCGTTTCCAACGACCCCCTCCCAAAAGACCTCCACTGGCTGTACGTGCACGAGGCTAGGAGCAAACTTTTGTCTCAAAACGACATGCTAGCACGCTCCTGAACACCAGCCTCACGACCTTGCAGAATCTCGACTTGAGTAGCCTTTGGTTTGCGTACGTCGTACTATGACGATTGCTCGGACACCAAACATTAACACACTCTGGATAGGAATTTCGATCACAACCCCCTCACGACGTTGTACAATGTGACCTTTGGCGAGGGCCTCAAACAAGTGTACGTTGTTGTATCTTTTTTTCTTTTCAACACGAATTTGTGTGTCCATACTAGGAGTTTTAGTACTGCCAACTTTACGACTTTTACGGTCGACCCCGAAACGTACGACGTGCTCTGCAGCGAGGGCCATTCCATGTTTTTTGCGGGCACCCACGACCTTGCGGCCACGTGCAAAGCGCCAAATCGCGTCGCACCGCTTCTCCCGAAAGGCCCCAAAGGCCCCGAGATTTTTGCGGCCGCACCTCACTATGTCTGCCTTGCCCCAGGTCCGCTCCGACACTTCCCTTCTCTGTGTGTCTGACAACGACAAACTAGGCAAGATCCTGCCGCCACCAACGCCGTCCAGCGTGCCAACAACCAGTGCGGCTATTCCGACCTCCATCGTTCCTCCAGCGACGGACGATACCGCGACTGCAGCGACTGGCCTCAGTGGCGCCGCGATCGCAGGCCTTGCCGTCGGTGCCTTCGTTCTCATCTTTGGCATGGGGTTGTACTTCTTCTGCCGCCGACGTCGCAACAAGTACGATCGTCTTCCTGAAATCCATTGTCGTTGTTCAGATTTTGCATTGTCAATCGTAGCAACCCGGTAACCACAAGCAAGCCATCCGACGAGAGCACACTCCCCTACGAGGGGGGCACCGCGACCGCCGAGTCCCGACCGTCGGGGTGTCCGCCCGCCGACTTTAATGTACGTACGTCTGCCGCCATTGCTCTCCGAGCGACAGTGAACTTAGGACCTCGCAACTGCTGCATCGTCGACAGTGCGTGCAAGGTACGAACAGTACCCTCTCTCTTCTATCTCTGGACACGGGCGCATTTAGACGCTCAAGACGTTCACGACCAAAGACGTTGATGTTTTTGTCGCGGCCAAAGTAACAAGACTCGATGTCCGAGGTCCTTCAGCTGAAAAAAGCACTGTCGAGCTCGTACAACG